AAGTCCGATTGCTTATACGACTATTATATGCTTATAACGGAAAGCGTATATAAGTTTTTGTTCTTCTTTTAAGTAGTCTAAGCTTAAAAGAGCCGAGTAAACCCGGTAGTCGATTAAGCTTATTTAAGCTAAGCTTTAATAAAAGAAGTCCTTTTACTAACGGCCGGCAAAGACGCAAACATTTATTAATTTAATCAATAAGCATTAATAAAAGATATAAAAATATACTTACGCTTATGCTTTATTATAAAAGTAAGATCGGTTTAAAGCTTATAAAGCGAAGGGTAGCAAGTAGCGTAGCAAAAGGAAGCACGGCGGCGACGAAGAATATAAAAGCTAAGGCGAAGCTAAAAGCCGGGACGCTAATAAGAATCGATAGCGCAAAAAAGACGAAAAGAAAAAAAGAAAGAGAACGAAAGATTATTAGCTTATTTATATCGTCGTTTTCGAATCTATATATATATGTAATTAGCGTAAGTAATTCGAATGTATTATTTGATTTCAAAATGATTTATATTAAAAGCTTAAAATCTTTTATCACTTTATTTTCTTTCACTTCTTTCTCGACCTTTTTTATTATTAAATTTATAGCAAAGAGAAAGAGAAAAAGAAGAAGAAGCAAGGCAGCAACAAGGACGGCGAAGACGGCGAGGACGGCGAAGACGGCGAGGACGGCGAAGACGGTATAAAAGAAAGAGAAAGAAAGAAAGCGAAAGATTATTAGCTTATTTTCATTATCATCGTCGTCTTAATTAAATCTATATATAATATTAGCGTAAGTAGCTAAAGTGTATTACTTATTATTTACACCGCGAGCTTAATTAAAGCAATAAGCAAAGCAAGAAGCAAAGCTTGTTAAAAGAAAAAGAAAGGGTGTAAAAGCAGCTACTATTGCTTGCGAAGTAGTTGTACTTGCCGCTTATAAGCCGGATTCGGCCGACTTATTCGCTTTATATAAAGTCCGTTTCGAAAGTTGCGTTAACAGAGTAAGATTATATTGCGAATGTAGTTGTAGTTGTAATTATAATTAAAGTTAAAGTTAAAATTAAAGTTAAAGTTAAAGTTGATATTAATATTAAAGTTAAAGTTAAAAAGAATATTTAAGTTATAATAAATATTGAAAAGTGATAGACGAATTTACTTTTTAAAAAAGTCCGTACTTAGTTAAATTCTTACACTTGCCGTATTCGTCGGTATAACAGTATATTTATATAATATTTTATATAGTAGCTTATAGCTTTTATAACTCTTATAACTCTTGTAACTCTTATAACTTTTGTAACTTTTGTAACTTTTGTAACTTTTATAACACAAGTAAATTTTCGCTTTTGCTAAATCTATCGGCTTAGCATGTATAATTATACAAAATTATTAACGTTATAAAAGTTACAAAAGTTATAAAAGTTATAATTGATTCGGCGTAATTAACCGTACAATTTAAATATATTATTTACTTTTAATCAATTGCTAATAGTTATACAATTACTTTTAATAATAAACTATTAGTGTATATCTTACAATTCGTTAAGCTTATATTCTTTTATAGCTATCAATCGGTGAGCTTTAAGCTCGATCTGTGCGTAAGCTTTTAAGCTTTGAATAGCCTTTTTTATACGCTTATTTAAAACACATAAGCGTTCAAAGGTCCGCTTGTTGCGGTAGTAATAATAAGTATATAAGCTATCTAGCTCTTTTTACGAGAATAAATTTAAACAGCCTTAACAAGGTTCGTCCGTTAATTTCGTTGTATATTCCGACATTATTATATCTGCTAAATTGCTAATTAAAGCCTTTCGAACTGTATCTCGAATAAAGTACTCTTTAGCTAGCTCGTAGCGTCGTTAATAATAGCAATCTAAGCAAGTAATAAATCGCAGATTAATGTTTAAAATAAAGAAGTATAGCAATAAACGGAAGGTATGACACTTAGCGTACTCGATTTTAATAAGTCTTTTAAATAGCTGAGCAAGTGCGAAAAGCGTAAGACGCAATAGAGATTGATATATCGTATTTATACTTAGCTTAAAAGTTAAAAAGAATAAAAGAAAGAGCAAATCTAACGTTAAATCTAATGCTTTTGCTTTAGCTTTGATCTTTTTAAATTAGTCGATCTGTTCGAAAGCGCGGTATATATCGGAATCGTCGTATATTTTCTTATTTTTATACGTCGTATATATAAATCTAAAATAGTTCGTAAGTATAAGACCTTAGCCTTTTTTGCTTACTTCGCTTTTTCGTTTGCTTTCCGTATCATTTTGTGTTTTATCTTTACTTTAAGCATCATTTTATGTTTTATCTTTGCTTTAAGCATTATCTTGTGTATCATCTTTGCTTTAAACATCAACTTTGATCTATTAGCTGCTTAAAGCATCGATGAGCTTTTTAAAGTTGATCTTATTTATAATACGAGTTATCTCGTCGTTATTATCGAAGAGATCGAGTAATTTATATCGCTAGCGTAGCAAGCTAAGTGATGATGCGATAAGTACGCGTTGTAAAGTTGCGTAATAAAAGTTATTTAGCAAAAGAGTTTTCGATAGTAGTATAGTAATTTCTTTTTCTTTTTTTTCTTTAATCTCGGCTTTTTTAATTTCGCCTTCTTCTTCAATTTCGTTCTCTTTTTTAATCTCGCTCTTTTTTTTAATCTCGCTTTTTTTTTTAATCTCGCTTTCTTTTTGAATCTCGCTTTTTTCTAGCTCTTTTTCTTTTTTAATCTTTTTAGTATAATTAATAACACTTTTTTTCTTTTGCTTCGTATTTATAATCGCGATAAAAAAAGTGATTTATTGCTATGTATTATTTGATTTCGGTATATCGTAAATGCAAAGTATTTAAATATAAAGAAAATACTTTATTAAGGCTAAGTGCACGTAGAAATAGGGTTTTGTTTGAATTAAGCGAGTAATAATGGATTCTTATTAGATCTTGTAACTTTTGTAACTTTTGTAACTTTTGTAACTTTTATAACTTTTATAACTTTTGTAACTTTTGTAACCTTTATAACTTTTATAATTAGCGGTAACATCTATATTATTTATATTTATTTATAGGTTTTATAATCGTTGTATAAGTTGCTTTTTATATATATGATCTGTATCTAGATCAATACTAATACTAATAAACTTTTTTTTAAAGCAGCAAAAATCAAACATATTCTTAAACATAACTTTCGCTAAAGTCTTTACTTTAAAAGCTGATATATAATATAGCTTATAAGTAAATTCAGCTTTAGCCTAGCTAGTCATTGCTTTAATTAAAGAAATTCTTTGACTCTTATATACCGTAATTGCGTAAGCTACGCGAAGAAAGAGCTGCCGACGATTGCAAGGCTTATTGTTATAAAAAAAGTCTCGATCGATAATAAATATTAAAAACTATTTAGTTTCTTCGAAAATAAGATTAATATAATCTTCGATCTTTATTATAATGCTTTGTAGCAGTTCTTCGCGTAATTTAGCGCTTGCTTTTTAAAAGATATCTTTAACTATTTTTATAGACTTATTAACTATTCTTATTTTTGTTTAAAGATTTTAATTCAATATCACTTTAGCTTTAATATATATATTAATACTTTGCTTTAAGCTTTCAGCTTCTTTCTAATCAGCGTTATAAGCTTTCGCGCTGTTCGTATTCTTTGATTTAAGTCTTAAGATAAGCGCGTCTAGCTTTTTTAGCTGCTCGTAATTGTATTTTTTTACTTCCGCGTTCGTAAAGTAAATACGAAAAGCATTTTTAAAAGATTCTTTATCAGCCGGCTAAATATTCATTTTAACTCGAGAAATGAAGAGTTCTTAATTGTTTACCGAAAAGTTATTTTCTCGGAGTTTTAAAAAGGCTTTGCGGAAATTAATAGCTTTTAAAGACTCGCTTTTTTGACGCATAATAATTTTAAATCGAATAGTTTTATTAAATAATCGATAAAAAAACTAACCGATCTTTTATTTTAGCGAAAGGTTATAAGTTATAAATAAAGACTTCTTTTTAACTAGCGGTAATTAATAAAAATCATTACAAAAGTAAATACTCAGACTTTTAAATAGCTCTTAAGATTCAAAGAAAATCTAAGCATAGCGCTTTTGAATTCGAGCGAAGTCTTTTAAATCAATTATTAACTTTTTATTAATGATTAAATACTTGCAATCTTTGAATTTCGCTTAGAAAGTCTAGAAAGTAGCAAGAGAATTGTCTATAGCATAATGTTTAACTGGTAGCGCTAATAAGGAATGTAATATAGCTTTCGCAATGCTAAAGGCAATAATACTTGTAAGCGCTGCTCGGATGACTGGATTTAGCTTGCTAACTTCGTTTGTTATATCTTAGAGCTGGACGCAAATAGCTAGAATAAAGTAGGTTTTGTTCGTGCTAGCCTTGCTATCGAGATGAATTAACAGCTGTAAAAAGGGTTGGTTTAATAATACTATAATATAATAGTTTATTATAAAATAGTAGAACTTTTTTTGCTTATCGGAAAGTCTTTCAGAATTATAACTTCGAGTAGCGCTAACTCGCATTGTGACGAACTGATGAATTCTGACCTTAGAATACAAAGTGAGGAGAGGAAACAGGAAGCTCGGGGAGCTCAGGAAGGTCTATATACATGGCCACAGGCGCTAGGCCTGAATGGGTGATCAGCTGACTGCAGGTAACAAGGCAGGCTGTCACACTACCCCCTTAGAGAGCTGTCCTAGCTCTCTTAAAAAGTACCTGACAAAGGAAGGGAAAAAAAATTCAGTCGTGAACCATGGTTTACGGGTGGAATTGCTGAAAAAAAAACTAAAAAATACGCCGAGGCTACAGATCGCGATAATCGTCAGGGTCAGCGTCGTAGCCTCCAGAAGCGTTCCATTCCGCTAAAATTTCCTCCTTCTCGTCCGAGTCAAACTCGCTTAAACCCTCATTTTCCTTGACAGGTCGGTCCGAAAAAGGGTCCTAAAGAACTCGCTTCTTTGTCAAGGGCTTAGCTGGAAGGAGGGTATAGCTAGCTATCTAGTGGTCGATTGCACCGCAACGGGTACAGCGATTTGATTTGCGCCAAGCTTCGCGCTGATTAAGAGTGCTGTGAGGAGCATGCTGGAGAGTGGGGTATCGGTCTTTCAACAGCTGAGTTTGGTTAGCCTCGTGAGCGTCGATAAGCTCTATAGCGCCGAGCTCGTTGGCGTGCTGCAATTGCTCGAGTTGTTGAGCGCGTTCGATTGCTGAAAGGTCCATTGGGTCGCCGGGGGGAGGGCCCGTTGACGTGCGAGGGCGGTTCTGAAGAGGGGCCGAAGGTGCCGAAGGTCGAGAAAATCCGTGGGACGGGCCGGAAAGGCCGGAAGAGCCGGATGAGCGTCCAAGCTGCTGAGTGACGTGCACGTATTCGGTATACGTGGTTGGGAGAGTCAATTGGCCATTTAAACGGGTCCGTATAGTTGAGTTCAGACCATTGCGGAACGCAATAATCTTATTAGCGTCGGGCCAGGTCTGATAGCGAGCAGCGTGCAAAAGTCGTTCGAAGCGTGAGACGTAGATATGGAGAGCGTCCGTACCTTGCTTGCAAGCAAGCAGCTTATCCTCAGCTTTTTGAATTTTGTTTGGATTGTCGTAAGCGAGAGCGAGCTGATCCAGAAGAGTATTGTAGTCCTAATTACCGGAGTCTTGAGCTGAGGCCAATTGAGTCAAAACCATTGCTTGGGGACCGGGTTCCATATTGAAGTAAACGTAGTAGAACTGCGCAGTGGGTCCGCCAAGAGCCTTACCGTCGACGAGAAGCTTGGCCTTGATTGAGGGGAGCCAGGTATTCCACCGCTGAACCGTACCGTTGAACTTATCGGGATCCGGAAGGACGCATTTGCGCTGGCGAGGGG